TACTATGTGAAAAAAACAACTTATTCACATTAACAGACGCAAATCTAGATAGAAATTGCATTATATGCATACATGTTTATAATTATATAAAATTAAATCGAGGGTATCTTACTCATCTAGAAATATTATAAACATTTCATTTTGTGGATAGATAGATTGCCATTTGGTATAAGGTTATGATTAAATGTAAATTTGTACTATTTCTATTGTTTCAATATAAAATATAAAATATATTTACTTAAATCGCAGATTAAATTCATTTTATTTGAAGTCTATTACATGATTGGGGAGATGCCACAATAAGCTTCATATTGAATTAATTATATTTTGATTGGTTCAATTATTTTAACTATACAAACTTATAGTGATTCAATATTAAAATGAAAATGTTCAATATTTACAACAGAAGCATTTTAAAATTCAGAATTTAATTTGTACACTAAGATGCATTGATGAAAAGTATGTTAGCATTCCTTTTCTGCTTTTCCACACCCATCGTAAGCTGTTTCGCCCCAGTGGGGCGTAACTTTAGCCATTTGATTCCCATGCCGGTTTATGCAATCTCTTTAGTTAAACACCCCTCCCATTTGTCCAGTGAAGCGTTAAGTATAGCATTTTTGCCATTCCATTTGCTTATTTGTTTGCATTGCTCATTTGGGTGTATGAAATCATGCAACTACCTGTTCCATAGTCATTCTATTCTATAAATAGTGCTGTGAGCAATTCCATATCGTTCAAGTATCAGCTGAAAAAGTGGGCAATACGACACCAAGCTCAAGATCGTTGACTTTTGGAACGCTTATCAGGTGTTTGGGCAAGGGTGGGTGAAATATAGATAAAATAGTCGGCATGATAAATGGACAGCTATCAATAATGAGAAGCTGCAGCAACCAGTCTCAATGCTGTTGTCTTCTGGCTATTTACCTGCAATCAAAACAGTTCATATATATGTATATATATATTTTTTTTCGCTCTCTGTTTGCTCTTTAAATGTTTATTTACATGCTTGTCTGTGTGTTTGTCGAGCCAGCGAGAAACAAACAAGCCGACGAGCGAGCCACTCACTTTTCTATAGCTCACTTTAAGTTATTTACGGTCGTTTATTTGTTTGTTTGCATAGGTAGACGCTACGTATACGCAATGCGCATGATAGTACTGATAGTAAGGCAGGGAGACACTTGTTTCAAATTTCATTCGCGTCGATTGATTCGCACGAAGGACAAGGTTGGCTAGGCACGCTCGAACTTTTTTCGTATCCGAAATTCCTCAGCCCCGCTTTTCTAATTTGCATGTCAAATGAACAAAGCAAGTATTAGCAACAACGAAAGGTGTTAATGATAACAGAAACTAACAGCGGAAAAACAAACTAGGCTAAAGGCGAGTCGGGGCAGACATTGCGCATACGCAGCGTTGCAGCAAAGCCATAAAAACCAATTCATCGCGGCAGCTGCTACTTCTGCTGTTTGTTCAATAAAAGCTAAACGAGCTTGCACCTTAACCAGAAAGCATAAATTTCATTTTTAACGCCGAAACTTACATACTCTTCCATTCCTTTCTATTTAGTATTTAGTATACAAGCAGTTGATGCTTTACTCAATTAACTGTTGGTATACCGTAGAAGAGGCCATTATAATCTGGTAACGGTATGTGTAAGGCATAGAAGAAGACATTTCTGAACCCATAACCTATTATATTTATATTATTGATTGATATCTATATCATCATCTATATAACTTAAGCATAATGTTATATGGGAAGAATCGGTTAAAAATTAAGTTCTCTAACGCTTTTTTATTATCAATGTATACATATGTAGTTACATTGACATTTTGATCTACAATTTACAAGCATTACTTAATATTTGACTAATGTCAATAATGTTAACTAATAATGTTCTTTACTTAAAGACACTTAACATATGTATGCATGTTAGGGTATTTCAATAAAAAATCTTTCTTGCAAACTGTGCTTCTGAGTGTGAACACTCTTTGCGAAAGTGCATAATGGTTCGGCTGGTTAAAGGCCTAAGGCGCGTTTTATTACTTGGTTGAACGGCAGGCAAGTGGCGCGAGAAAATCGCATAAATCTTAGTTCGCAGTTACAACTAGACGAGTTTTGTGAACTCGAAACTCAATTAAAATACCAAGTTCAGAGCCTGCCAGCGTGCGAAACTGACAGCTGACAGATGGAGATGTTGTAGCCAGTGGAAAGCGCCTGTGTATTGGGTCATGGACTCTGTCAACATTTTACCGACTTCGTCACTTACTCACTTAGTCATTCGCTCCGTCATTCAGCCCAACTATCAATCATTTAAGGCTCACATTGCGCGTTTTTTTACAATTCGTTTGAAGCAGGTGCGAAATGTGTCAATGCGAAGTAAGCCAAAGTTCAAAAGTATTGTACCTTAGACCCGAATTGCCATAAAATACTAGCTCGCTATAGGATTCTGTTAATTGTTATATTTATAGAAAGCTCTTTAATCTTTTAAGGTTCGTACACATTTGCACAACAGGGTAAAGTTCTCGAGTCTAATAAATATTACACGCAGCTTCTGACAATTATCAAGTTTAAAAGCTTTAAATACGTTAAATAAAGTCATTTATATTCGTTTTAATTATGCGAATTCAAAAATATTTCATCAGGTTTGAGATGCCTTAAGACACAATTATATCCATTTTTGACCATATTTTAGTGGATAATGGCTTAAAAAAAACTTGTGGGATTTTATTTGTTGTGCTTTTTGTAAATTATTTATCGTATATTCCAGAGACTTTTCGGGTGGTTTTTGTATCTAAGTACACAAAAATGACAAATACAAATACAAAATGTTTTTAAAATTCAAATTTTTTCTATTTGTTTTAATCTTTCAGATTTGCGAAATTGAAGAACACAAAATTCATAAAGCGTAACATCAAGTAAGTTATATCAAATGTTATATGCTTACTATAAGTGATTGGAACCTCTTTGCACATTGAAAGTCTTTAAACGCTTTTCATCATGTGGAATATTCTTAAGAATATTGCATGTTTGAATTTATTTTCTAATGTAGTTGACTGCAGCTTTATGCAATTTTATTCTATTCCGTGTTGTCGCACATTTGGTCAATTAAACGCAGTATCCTTCACACAGTCGTTCGATTCCTTTCAATTCACTGACCTTTATGCGTCGAGCAATTACACCCATCCTAGGGAGGCAGGAAGCGGCATGCGATGACACATGACATCGCCACATTGGGGGTTGACCTGTCACCACGTAGAGACGTCACTTGGCGACGATATTAATTAAGGTGCAAAATCACGAACATGCATTTAATTTACTTGGGGCTTGGGAAAGCTGGAAAACATCGGGCTAAGCAACATTTTTGCACGCATTTTGCAGCTTGTCGATTCAATTCAATTCGCCAGCAGATTTCCCCCTATCTTGGCCAGCATCTTGGCTGTGTGTGGACCATTAAAGGGCATTGAATACTTTTCTCAGCCATGCTGAGGCGTTTGGCAAATGCTAGTGGCCGGCCAGTGGCTGGCTAAAATTGTGCTTTATTGCCATTCTTTCATTAGGTTTGTATCTTGAAGATATTTTATGCGCATTTCTGCGCACGGTAATGGGCTGCTTTCTTGGTAGAGAGCAGCATCTGTCTTACGACCAATCACAATAATTTCAATTGTGATGCATGTAATGCGTCTTATTGTTGTTCATGAGGCATTTGTCTCGAAGGCCCCTTTGTCCACAGCCTAGCAATCGCAATCAGGCAACTTCTTGAAATGTGCGTATTTTATTCAACTTTTATTCAATGTGTTGCTGTTAAACTTAGCTTGTAACTGGCAGGAAGTAATAGTTACCTGCAGGAGACTTTACCCAATATACTTAGAGTGCTGAGGTACTAGACAGAGACAGCGGGGGAGAGAGAGCTGTATGATGTAATAGTCCAATGTTAGCAAGTTTATGCCATAATGTTGGGCAATTGGGGAAGATGCCTTAAGTACAAAAAACATGAGTTTTGAAGCAGCCATATGATATATTGGTTAAATCTTGCCAGACTTATCCTAGTTTACATAGAGACTAGACTATTGATATTCATGTACGGTTAGTTCCATACTAAATTGCTGTCACATTTGATTCTTTTTTGCGGCTTCTAGCCAAGCATTATTGTGTTTAAAAGAAGGGAACAGAAATGATTAAAGAAGCATTTTAAATTATGAATGAAAACTAGTAGATCCATTAATGTGAAGTAAACACATAAAATGTGGGCAGCAAATTAAGAACAGCATTTTCGATTTCAAAACAAACTTCACAGAAAGACAAAAATGTGTCAAAATTAGTACAAGCTGGCCTGAGCCGACATTGCTGCTAAACGAACTATAAAGCTCTACGAGTCGAAAATAATGCCACATAATTCACAAGACCAAGGAAGTTTATCCCGCTCGCACATCCAGCGGAGACATAAATTAGTTTACAATAGAGTCAAAAAAGAAAGAGAAAAAACCGCAACGACCGCAAGCTTATAAAAATAGTCTTCATTGGCTGCGTTGTGTGAAAATTAACAGCATTAAACATTCGAGAAGGCATAAATTTTAATAAAAGTCAAAAAAATGAAACAGCTGCGAGCAAAATGGGAGAAGCAAACAAATAAAAATGTTGCAGTCGGGTGCAACCGACTGTGTAATACTCGTTCATAGTCCAATAACAGCTGAACACGGGCTGATTAACCCGATTCACCATGCCCGCACTAGACGCAGGGAATTTATTTTTGAATCAATTCTGAAAGGAGCTCATCGTTTGTCTTTATTAAAAATTTAGGTACTCCATCTCTATAACTGTGCAACATAGATAGAAGAGGGCTCAGCCATATAATCGTAACACTTTATCTGACATGGGAATGCACAAGTTTATGTTTCAAGTTTTAAGTATCTACTTTCTATGCAGAGTATTTAGACAGAGAGCCGGACAAAACCGATATATTTTGAGTTTGGAATGAGTATTCAAATAAAACGAGCCAGTGGTCAAATCTGATATACAATACTTTATTTTCATACATGTATAATTCATACATGTGTAGTCGAGATAAAAGCCGTCAATCATTGAGAACCATTGTATTGTCTTGTGGCTTTAATGTCTTGAGGAAAGGTCGCCCTTAGTAGGCCATAACATCATGAACTCGTCGGAAGCGTTCGCTCGTCTGTCGGAGCGTAAGGCCTCGCGTCTCGGGCATCAGGACAGCAAAGATGATTATAGCGACTGCCAGGATAATGCCCACGGCCAAGAAGTAGTGGAAGTAGTCCGACTTCTTTGCAAATGTTACAATCACAATAATGTGGATCACTTGCTCGATGCACACAATCAGGCCAATGAGGATGGCCTTTACCCGCAAAGGAAACGCCTCGCCCAAGTATGTGGGCGTGCAGGCAACGTAGAGGCCGGCAAAGAACTGAAACGCCATAGATATGCAGCACACCTGGTGCATATAATATACGTTAAGTGAGTGCGATAAGATGCCCGCCATTCCCAGCATCAGAGCCGCCATGCAAAGCAAACCCAGCAGCGAAATGAACTTGCGTCCCAGCTTATCCACCAGAGCTATGGTAAAGATCGTGCCAATCCAACGCAAAATGCCCCACAGAATAATGGGCCAGTTTAGGGATCCTTGAGAGTCAAATGTGCTAATTTCCATCAAATAGCTCAAGGGTAATGAGAAGGTGAACGCCACAAGGCAGCGACTGAAGATCATTTTGATGAAGGGCGTTATGGAACCGACCAGTTCTGCACCGAAGCTCTGGCTTGTACTGGCAGACACGTACCGTTTAGCTTCGTCAAGGGCTTCATTGCAGGCTTCAGTGGAAGCCGAGTTGGGCAGGAGCATCCACTGGCATGAGCGCGCCTTTTCCTCATCGTTTTTGCTTAGATAGAAAATAGGCGACTCCACTGACATGGCCACAGATCCCGTAGCAATTAATGAGAACACAATTCCAAAAATGCCATGGGAGCAATTGACTCCGACGTATGAATATGTGTCCCACTGTGAGTCAATGATCACCTGGATAGCGATGCCCAGCGCCAAGCCGTACTGCTCTAGGCCACACCAAAGTCCACGGGTGCTGCGTGTCGCCACCTCCGAGTTGTGTATGATAAACGCAACGGTGATGAGACCAATGCCTGCTCCGCCCACGTAGCGAGCGGCCACTATCGAAGTGTAGTTGTATGGTGCACTCACAAAGATGATTGCATCAATCATCTGCATCAATCCGCCTAACGACTTAACAAATTGGAATCATTAGCATAGGTCTAGGCTTATCATATGTATTCTGCTGCACTACTCACATAGAAACACCACTTGGGCACATGGGTAACAGACAATGATGCTACAAGAGCCCCAATAATGACGCCAATGAACCAACTGAACTCCAACTCATGAGTATTCGCAATGTTTGTTTGTAGATTCCAGTTAAGGCTCTGGGCCATATCCATTCCGCCATAGGCAAACAAGAGAATGCCTGTAAACGAAATGTACTTGTTTAATGTTTTGTACACATTTTTAGCAAAACTGTGAAAACAAAAACTAACAAACTTGATTTTTTCTACAAAACTTCGCTTTTAAGGTATTTCAATTTTCAATGTGAGAAAGAAATTTATTCGAAACTAGCGGGTATCACCCGGCCTTGCCCGTGGCACGTATGTTATAAAATCAAAAAAGCTTTGAAAATGATTTTAAAACTGATCGGACGGGAATCAAACAACTTTTATGCAAATCGGAAAACTCTTAAAATTCACCAAAAAAATCTTAAAAATGCATTTTCCACCGAAGGAGTTTAGATTTTGCGAGAAATGTGAAACACGTCTCAAATGATTTTTCTAATAGATCTCTGGAAATGAATTTGAGTGCGAAACGTCACCCACCAAATCTTTGACCTCCATTTCCACCAAGGAAGAATGGATTTTTCAAAAAAAATGAAACACCCATTAAATGAATTTAAACATAGATCTTTAAATATGAATTTGGGGCCGATCGGATGATAAACAAAAAACTTTCATACAACCTTTTTCCGCCAATTTACCACTGTTGCGGGTGGAATTTTCCAAATCGCTGAAATACGTACTTATTAAGTTCTTATGAAGAGCTTTAAAAATAAGTTTGAAGCAAATCGGACACAACTTAAAACGCCGCCCAAAAAATCTTTAAATCGCATTCCCCCCGAAGAAGTTTGAATTCTGCGAAAAGTGAGAAACACGTCTCAAATGATTTTTCATATAGATCACTGGAAATAAATTTGAGCGCGAAACGTCACCCACCAAATCTTTGACCTCCATTTCCACCAAGGAGGAATGGGTTTTCCGAAAAGTGCGAAACACCCCTCAAATGAATTTGAACAAAGATCTTTGAAAATAAGTTTGGGGCCGATCGGATAGTAAACAAAAAAGTTACATACAAACGTTTTTCGCTATTTTTCCACACTTGCGAGTGGAATTTCCCGAAACCCCGTCTTAACGTGCACCTACATCACATAAGGTAGCTACAGTGAAAATTTCAGCTTCCTAGCTCTTACGGTTTGGGCTGTGCGTTGATCACCAATCAGTCAGTCAGTCAGTCAGTCAGTCAGTCAGTCAGTCAGGACAAACAGTTTTATATATAGAGATTAATGTATACTCGACAACATATCTGTAGCCCAAAAAGTTTTAAAAAAGATACTAAAGAAAACTTTTAAAAATTATAGCTGTTAATGTCATACGAAATAGTGTTCATTTCCTCCCATATAATAGAGCACTACATGGTTTATTCACGGCACAATTATTAATTTTACATAACATTAGTCGCCTTCCGTTCCATTATGAAGCCCCTTTAGTTTGCCAATACCTTAGAATCATATTCTAAATCAAATTAACCCTATTAAGGGTAGCTTACTACGCTCTAAAAAAACTCCACGAAAACAAAAAATAATATTCATTAGTCATATGTAAGCTTGTACAAAATGATTTTTAGATATCTTTTTTTGTATATATCAATAAGCGGTTGGGGGTTTTTTTTACAATTTGTTTAAAAAAGCTTCCTAGAAAAATTTGTTGTGCAGCCCCCACTTAAATTTATACAGAAAGGATGCGAAATTGAATGATCGTATATTTTTAAGGTACGGATGTATTAGAGAATATACATAAATTTGTTTGTTTTTTAATATACATATAAACGATACGAAAAGACAATCAATTTCAGCTTGAAGTTTAAGTATGATAATATTATCAGGTATCGTATAAAGATAGAAAAGTTATTCAGCTGTATTCTTTATTATATATACCTATAAATATATATTTAGCAATGATCCTTGGGATGTTTCTGTTTTTGTGAGCCGATATTGAATTGAGCCGGGTTGAGGTAGCATTTTCTGCGTGTATTTACCAAAAATCGAAACTTTATCCGCATTAGTTGAACAAAAGTAGAATATCTATTTTACAAAATTGACACGGCTTAAAATCATTTTTTTTCTCCTCCTATATATAATTTGTATAAGGAAGAAGGCTGCAAACCACATTCAGCCGGGAATTTCGTTTGTTTGTTACCAATTATTGGGAACAAATCACATTTAAATTGGATTGTTTCATTGCAATTTGAAATTATATAACAAACCAAGGTTTGCATTTTTTCAGGATTGTAGAAAAGGCAGGTAGTTGGTTTGAACCGTGAACCTAACCGTCAATTTCTTTGGGCTGTTCTAAAGCCTTTATCACATCACAATATTTAAATTTAACAAATTCCATTGAATAATAATATGAAAGATAATAAACTAAAACTATGTATAATAAATTTAAAAATGTGAAGGCTCGAACTAAATCCTGAGTTTACAGATTGGCATTGGCTTAAACCGTGAACTGAACCATAGAAAAAGTTTTTTGGCCTTGTAGCCGTGATTCTTGTGCTCACCTGCTGTTGCTGTGTGAGTTTTCTGCTTGTTGGCCCATCGATTGGTCTGGGGTCGAGGAGTGTTAATCACATTAATGTAGGTGGTTTGTGTTGGTAAAGCAGCAGGATCCGTGGTTATATAGGTGGTCTGCCTTACAGGCGTTATGGGGTCCTTTGAGGTAACATAGGTGATAGTCATTTCGTTCACTTATTTATCTGATTAGATTAAGGTTCGATCGATATAAGGGCTACGTCGTAACTGACTTCAAATTGACTTTTTTTTATATTTATATGGTTAAGAAAACTGCGATATCAGTATCTAATTATAGATAATGTATACATAGTGTAATCAGCATGTGTTCGGTGGTTTTTACTGGCCCCTTGGCCAGTTGAGTGTTGATAGGTGGCAGCAGAGCTTTGGCTTTGATTCATTTTTGCCAGGTTCTGTCCCTTGCCATTAACAATTCTGCGTTGTTTGGCAAAAAACCATGTAAATATAAATGTTCTAGCTAATAAATTTATATATTTTGCTATATATCGATATAAACTCATTAATTATCTAGATCGTTTATTGGTTTTAAATGCTAAAGCGGTTTATAGTTGATCATTCATTAACAGTATTTAGAAGATACTATCTTATTAGGGTATTAAAAGTTTACAAGCCACCATACTGTCTACGAATTAGTTAAAAAGTGCTTAAGATTAGACCAAATGTTTAACATTAGTAGGACATCACATCATGTACTCGGCTAAAACGTTCACCCGCCTGTCGGAGCGATAGGCCGCGTGTTTCCGGCATCACCGCGCCAAAAATGATCAGACTGACTACCAGTATAATGCCCACACCCACAAAGTATTGGAAGTAGCTGTCCGAGCTCTTCCCGAATGTGACAATCACAATGATGTGAATAACTTGCTCAAGACAGACAACCAGTCCAATGAAGAAAGGCTTGACCCGCATGGGAAACGCCTCGCCCAAGTATGCCGGTGTGCTAATAACGAACAGGCCAGCAAAGAACTGGAAAGCCATTGAGATGCGAGACACCTGCGACATGAAGTATGTATTTGAAAAGTATGTCTCATGTGAGAGGATGCCTGCCAGGGCCAGCATAAGAGCCGCCATGCACAGCAGTCCCAGCAGCGAGACGAACTTGCGTCCAAGCTTATCCACGACGCCAATGGCCAAGAGCACCCCAATGAAGCGCAAAATACTCCACAAAATCATTGGCCAGCTGTAGATGGATTTCTTCCAAATAAGTGTGCTCCCTAACATGGTTAGGCTGAGCGGCACTGAGAAAGTAAACGCTACAAGGCAGCGACTGAAGATCATTTTGATGAAGGGCATTAGGGAGGCAGAGAACTGTGCCCCGAAACTTTGGCTTGTGCCTTCCATTACGTAGCGTTTGTCTTCGTCAAAGATCGCATTGAATACCTCTGTTGGCGCCGTGGTACCTAAGAGCTGAGTCTGACAGCTCCGCGCTGCATCCTCATTATTGTTGCGGAGGTAAAAGATGGGTGATTCAACTGACACAGCCACGGAGCCCGTGGCTATAACGGAAAAGATAATGCCAATGATTCCATGTGCCGTATTAATTCCAATGCTGGACTTGAAGTTCCACTGTGAATCCATGAGCACCTGAATAAGTATGCCCAGCGCCAAGCCAAACTGCTCCAAGCCACACCATTTACCACGGGAGCTGCCTAGAGTTACTTCCGAGTTGTGTATGATGAAGGCCACCGTGATGAGTCCAATGCCCACTCCGCCCACATAGCGAGCGGCCACTATCGGAGAATAGTCGTACGGCGCACTTACAAAGATAACCGCATCGATAAACAGCATCACTCCTCCCAAGAGCTACAGAAGGTTGAGTCATTAGAGGTCAAGTTTTTGTAGATATAAGTTCTGCAACTCACATAGAAATATCTTTTTGGTACGTGGGTCACTGTCAGAGCTGCCACGACAGCTCCAATAATGACCCCGACGAACCAGCTGAATTCGAACTCGTAGGTGTTCGTAACCGCTGTATTCAGATTCCACTGTAGACCTTGAGCCATATCCATTCCGCCATAGGTAAATAATAGGAGTCCTATAAGAATTTGTATTTATAAATGTTACTAAAACGGCATTGGAATCCTCAGTGCTTATAAAAAGCGGTGGTGTGTTAATTAATTTAATAGTTGGTCACCTTGATGAAAATAAGCAGTTATTACTGTAAAACTAAACGGATTACATAATATCGGACTCTATTTATTTTAGTCAAATGCTCTAGCAAATGGTTGTACATAAATATAATCGAACTAATGTTTGGATTCGCATGAATTTTGCATTTAAAAGAATGAACTTCTAGAATGTAATTATGAAAAATTGCCAAAAAGAATATCATTATTTCTTAGCAGGAACTATAGGCATTCTTCGATTTTTCACTGGGCTTCAGTGTTCCAGCATTTGAAGAACTTACCAAAGGTTGCGGAGTGAGCACTGTGCTTATTTGTCCAGCGGTTGTAGCTGCGTTGGGCCCGTGGATCTTCGATGATCTCGACGTAAGTGGTTTGTGGGGGCTGCTCCGCATTTGTAACTATAAAGGTCGTCTGCAAAGGGGGTGCTTGGCCCGTGGTTATATAGGTGGCCGTCATTTTGCCCACTTATGCAACTCGCTGGCGATGCAAACTAAAACCGCTAAACGTTTGAGCAAAACTAATTTAAAATTGGAACATTTTGGGTGTGTTTATTAGCATGGCAAAGAATGCGTTATCTACATATTTTTTTTGATATTATAGATATTTTAATCAATTTATAGATACACACAAATTTCGTGTTCATTGCTCTGTGGGCCACCCACCGTTAACAGGTGAGATATGATCGTGATTCATTCGTTTTGGTCCGGCCCTTCTTAAGCGTAGTCCCCACATGAAAAATGAATGCTGATAACAGTTGGTAGGCAGTCAAAAATTTGCGAGCTGCATTTACTCACGCATTCATAAGAGGACAAATGGAGTTTTGGGCATAAGATTTGTGACTCATGGAAAACGTTGAGTTATTGTGTTCTTCTGGGGGACACCTTTGCTGAATCAGCGCAAATCGTTGTACACGGTCATGGGCTGAGCCATACATTTCTTGTCCTAGTCTTAATCGATCAGAAAGTTAAAGCGAATCTAATCAATGCAAATGCTTTGAATATTCCTCATCCATATAGGTATCACAAAATATATACAAACCAAATAAAAGTGCTCTTGTCGGGAGTGCCCGAATAGGGGATACACGAACTTGAACTCGCAGCAACCTTCAGCCGAACATACATCTTGACATCGCCTCATCGCCTCGCACAGACATGCCGAGCATTCAATGATAGAAAACTGAAGTAATATAGCAGCATATCTATGGGGCATACATTAAATAAATCGCAGTTGTTTTCCCTTCAAAATGGGTGAATTATGCCAAAAATATGAAACACGTATCAGATGCATTCTCATATAGATCATAGAAAATAAACTGGAACACAAGTTGATAGAATTTCAGAAAGGATTTACGGTTTGGGCTACGCGTTGTCAGGACAAACATTTTCATATATAGAGGTAGAAGTATTATTCAAAGAACTACTTATTTTACCTTTAAGCAGAAGTGCTTGTTGTTTTAAAATAGTTTTGTTTATATTAATTTCATCTTCTCGAAATTTAACACAATTTAAGCGGTCAATTTAACCGCAAAATTGCTTAATTATACCTACTTGATCTTAATAAAACTTAAAATTAGATTTCTTAGCTTTAAATATAATTTCAAAAATGTATGTACAGATATAATTAGACATCTTTAAAGTTTTATTGAGGTACAGTTGCTTCTATGTCAGCTCCTCCCTAGTGGGCCCAGATGTCATGCAGGCGACGGAAGCGGTAGCCCGCCTGTCGCAACGTCATTTTTCGCGTCTCCGGTAGCATCGCCAAAAGGATAAGCATACTTATAAGCAGGATAATACCAACACTCAAATAGTACTGGAAGAAGCAGTAGGGATTCCGGTCGAATGTGACAATCACAATGATATGGATCACTTGCTCAATGCACACAATAAGGGCAATCATGAAGGGCTTGACTCGCATGGGGAACGCCTCTCCCATGTAAGCGGGCGTGCATGCGACGAAGAGGCCAGCAAACATTTGGAATACCATAGAAATGCGACAAACCTGTGCCATGTAGTATGGGCTGAAAGTGTTAGACCAGTTGGAATAGATGCCGGCCATGCCCAGCATCAAGCCCGCCATGCATACAAGACCTACCATTGAGAGGAGCTTGCGTCCCAGCTTGTCCATAACTAATATGGCAACGAGCGTTCCGATCCAGCGCAAGATTCTCCATACGATGATCGGCCAACTGTACATGGTGCCTTTCCAAACAACGCTGCTCGCTATGATTGTCTTGGTGAGCGGCGCCGAGAAGCTGAACGCCACAAGGCAGCGACAGAAGAACATTTTGATAAATGGAATCATGGAGGCGGATAGATCATGGCCTAAGCTCTCGTGTGAGCCCTCCGACACATAGCGCTTGTTTTCTTCGAGGGCTTCATTGTGATCCTCTGAGGTTGCGTTTTTGTCCATCAGCTCCCATTGGCATGTGTTTGCCTTTACGTAATCATTCCGGCGCAATTGGAAGATAGGCGATTCAACCGATAGCATTAATATGGCAATGGCAATAATAGCAAAAACGATTCCAATGATGCCATGCACTTGGTTGTTTCCGATAGATAAGGCCGGGTTCCACATTGAGTCCATGATCACCTGTATAGCTATGCCCAATCCCAGGCCGGACTGCTCCACGGCGCACCACTTGCCACGGGCATTGCTTGGCGCCACTTCCGAATTGTGTATTATAAAGGGTACCGTAATGAAGCCAATGGCAATGCCTCCAATATACCGAGCTGCAACCATTGCTTCATAGTTATATGGGGCACTCACACAGATAATGGCATCGATCAGCTGCATCACAATTGCCAGAGCCTAGATAGATCAGAACCATTGGCATCGGGTAACCTTAGACATGATCTTTAATTCTGCAACTCACATAGAAATAGAACTTGGGCACGTGAACAAAAGCGAGGGCACTCAATATAGCTCCAATGATGACGCCAATGAACCAACTGAACTCAAATTGATAGGAGTCGGCGATGCCTGTGTACCTATTCCATCCAAGGCCCTGAGCCATGCCCATACCGCCATAGGAAAAGATTACCATTCCTGTAAAAAATACGAGTGTTAAATAAAATTTATATTTTTTTCTAATGATGCTTGTTGCGCTAATGATAGCTGCGGTTCTGACACACGGGGTTGAGGTTAATAGCGGAAAATTGTTCCATTAAAGTGCCTGGTAGTGCAGTAGGTTAGAAGGGATGTCTGTTTTGGATGTCTAAAAGTCTAACTCATCGTCAATTTTCAAAAATATCCAGAGTTAATTTCTAAATTTACCTGTAATAATCGAGTGCAGCCTCTGACGATTAACACAGCAGTTGAACCTGCTCTGAGGTCGAGAAGTGCTTACAACTTCTATATGGGTATCCGGGGTAGGTTGCCCTATTGCCATTTTATTTACTTTTATTAAGTTCGTTCGATTCGTAGGCTGCGCCAAACTGACTTAAATGACCAAATTCAAGTGAATTTATATGCACACAACATTGATACCATTGGTTACATTTATATCTATTGAATTACCTTGATTGGTCAGATAGCATAGGGTGCTCGGAATTTAGCTGTGATTCATGCGACCTGTGTCTGTCGTTCTTTAGCGTAGACCCTACATGAATATAAGCACCGATAAGGGCTACTTGATGGAACTTGAAGACAGATTTTGCAAAGTTCAGAATTATCGTGACTCATTTGCTGCTGCAAATTCCAACTTGACTTTAGGAAACACCAGCAATGAATCAGTATACTTAACTGGGCTTAATGACATACGGAATGAGTTTATAAAAGTTATAGTTTTCGTATATCGTTTTAATTCGTATATATAAATGCATAGTTTTAAATATTTTGTATTTATAAGAGATACTATCTTGTTCTTGACTAACTGTTAATATCTGTCCTGGTATATATGATCTAGTTTAACAATGGCAAGCAGGTGGCCGTTCTCTATTTGTTTTATTCTTTTACAAATTAAATGATCGGATCAAAGCGTATATAAAAGGATTTTTATACCCTGAACCCATTGAAAATGGGTAAAAATTGCAGTTCTGTGCGAATTTATGTAACTGACAGGAGGAAGCATCCAATCCTATGAAGCATATATATTCTTGATTAGGAGAACAAAGTCAGTCCATCTAGCCATATTCGGGCCATTTATACATATGCACCGAAAATTTCATAATGATTGTAAACACCGAAGCTATTAAAATTGCGTATCCCATAGTATGTGACTGATTTAGTTTTTATGTATATTTGTATAGATTGTATTTGAGGTTCCAAGTTTATAGAAGTAGACATACAGCATATAAATGCTGACTAGTATTACGAGCCGAATCCATTTAGCCTTGTAAATCTGTTCCGTACATCTGTCAGTTTGTCTTTAGCTATGGAAAATAGTTTCTCAGCTTTTAAGCTATCGTCATGTAATGTTGCTTAGGATCAACATTCTGTTGCAGGTTGTATATTCTTTGCAAAATATTATCATCATTGTTCCATTTGTACATATTTTAAAGATTTTGTACTGAATCACTTTAACGATGAACAAATAACAGCCCAAACCGTAAAAGCAACGAGAAAAATAGGTCCGACTGCCTGTTGCAGTCATATGCAGGAACCGGCCGGTTCGGACCACCATATCTTTTAGCTGTCATAGACATAATTGTTTCTTGTATGTTTATCAAGCTCTGCATTTATTAGTTTCACTATGCTCCATACATATATGCAGCATCTTATCAACATCGGACTACTATATCATATAGCTGCCATAGGAACCAAATTTGGCATTAGTTAGTTTCGCTATGCTCCATTCACTTGAATCTTATCAACATCGGATGTATAGGAACGATCGGTCTAAAAGTAAGTAGTTTTTCTAGGGTATTTAATCTTCGGCGTGCCAAATTTAACCTTCCTTTTTTGTTTTAAACAAAATATTTCAATCGGCATGTTTTATATAATATTGCACTCTGACTTTAAATGCTCGTTATTGCCACACCTTGACCCATCCCTAACTGACTAGCCAAGATACTTGAGATGTGGCAAGTGGGCTTGCATAACCTAATATGGATGCTACTGTGCAACATCTTCATTAGCTGGCAGCGCAAACAAAAGTCATGAATGTTGCAGCAACAGTCGACACATCCCTGAGGCGGCAATCTCAAGTGTTTGCTTGAGTTGTCTCAAATTGTGTAATGTGTGCACTAGAACTGGCGGCAGCTCTCCAGCTCCAGCTCCTACTTCAATTCCAATTCAGACTCCATCGTCGCTGTAAGCCGATCCATCTTGTTGCGCATCAAACTGTCAAATTGCGCACATGTCTCTATGTGTCTGGGGCTTAGGGAGGTTACGACTGGGAGTGCTGACTCTTTGCTGCTCCTTGTCATTTGTCACTGCTCGACAAATTAAGCAAATGCGACGCCAAATGGCCATCGCTTCCATCCTCCATCTTCGCAACGCGTCGTCTCATATTTTGAGACATTCAAGTACATTTTAATGAGTTTATGCACCAAGCTGTCTAATGGCTCAAAAATTATGAGCGCCGCATCAAGTGCCACCAGCACACACATATGAGCCCATATCAACATTAGCACATGGGGCCCATAACTCACATTCAGATACAGATACAAAGATATATATACTAATACAGCTAGCTGGAGACAGCTGAGCACTTTGCATCAATTTCTGTGCACATGCGTCTCTGTGTGTGTGCTTGTGTTTGTGTGTGCTAGCAAATGCTTCAAGGAAGTGTCTGCCAGTGCCACTAATGGAGTCTAATTACCCCGACCGAACGGCGACGACCGATGCGGATCCCTCCCAATGCCTTGGCTAATAAAAGCATATTAAAACGTTGTCGTTCTTATATGCTTGACAGACAACCAGACAGATAGAAAACATTGGCGCTTGGCGCTTGACGCTTGACTATTGCTCATTATTTATTTTCGTACAACCCAAATAAAGCGCAGACCGCAAAACGTCAGATTCCCCAACACTGCCCCAAGAATTGAACAGCTCCAGACAGTTTCGTTCAGAGGATCTTGTGGTTGCTCATAATATACCGAAGAAGAGAGAATAAAATTTCTTGATATGTTAATGACCTGTCTGGACAGTGCGAGGTCGCGCAGAAGCTTGCATCGACAAAAGAAATAATTACCAATTAAGGCTATTAACTACAATTAATTTATACTCATGGGCCGAAAAAAAAAATAAAATACTTAGGTGGAAGATTTTCGATTATCCGCCCGGGATTGAACCGGGGGACGTCCGCGTGTTAGGCGGATGTGATAACCACTACACCACGGAAACCCTTTGAGCCGGAGGATGTGCAAATTGAAAAGCATATAACTTTCTGTTGCTTAAAACATAAGAATCTAATACTTTTATTTAATGAAATTTAATAATTGTATTAAAAAGTATTTTGCCGAAACCCGGGATTGAACCGGGGACCTTTAGATCTTCAGTCTAACGCTCTCCCAACTGAGCTATTTCGGCCGGTGAGGGACTATGAGCAAACTACGCATCAAATTGTAGTGGACAAAAGCACAGCAAATAATTTGCAAAGTCCATGTAGATATGCATACATACTGTGAAACAAAAAAAAATTTACATTAACATTTATAATATATTATTTATTGTCTTTTGTTAGAGCTTAGCAATAAACATAATTACGTATGAAAAACACTTGCGCGCCACTCTATAAATAGAATTCACATTTCTCATACACAATATTTCTTATATTCCACATAAATAACGAAAATGCACATTTGCTTTATTTATGTGCACAACTTTTGTTTCAAATTTTGTTTGTATGACAGGCAGCCATGAAAATTGCTTTGACAGTTGCACGTCTTTAAATATTTTGGTGCAGTTGGAAAACTTTTTGCAGCTGCAACACTTTCAAACCCAAATTGTGCCCCTCCACTTAGCTGCACCAAAATGTAACTGGGTCTGCTGCATCGCTTTAATATTACATGGACATCAAACAAACTTTTTCAAGTTGAAAATTTTTAGCTGTATTTGAGCACAAACAAAAAGGAAAACAAGAAATTTGAGAGAAAAAATAGAAAAACGAAATTCGTAAGGCACATTAAGTTAGGCGCATTAAATTGTAAATTGTATATTTAATGATGCTAGCGCAAAAATAAATAAAAACTATAAAGCATGTTTAATGCTTTTCAACGCTTGCAGCGAAACGTAGCTGACAGTATAGGAAAATGCATGCTACCTTTTTGGCAACGTTTCAAAATCTGCTTGCGAAGACCAAATGTTCGCTGGCAGGCATTTGTAAATATATGGGCAAATAAACTTTGAACTTTGTCAAGTTCAGTTTACTAGAAAATAAAAAAATAAACAAAGTATGGGTATGTCTTGAGAAGCAGGATCTTCTAAATCAAACTTAAATCACATGTTTTAAAAATATTTTCCTTTATTTTAGAAACATTTATATTAATTATAAATTTAATTAAGTTTTAAAGGTTATATCACATCGATTTTATAAAAATTATGAACATCGATTTTAAGGTAGTAAAGGATTATTTAGCGGAAGTGCGTGGAAAATCGCTGTCTTAAATTTAAAGCAAGAAACTTGGCACGGCCAAAGCTGGGTAAAAACCACTATAATTGTGTATATCTATCTATATAAAAGAGTTTGTCCTGCCGGACAGAGCGAATGACTGATCGAATGAATAAATAAACCGAAACTTTCAGGGCTTCAAAGAAGACATTTTTACTGCAGTTTCCTTTTGGGGTGCAATCGTCGCGCTAACAAACGGGAGGGCGGCTCCATCAGAAAAATGTCAATTTTTATATTAATTGGGTTTTTCATTTGTCATTATTCACAAAGAAAAATCGAATTTAAGATATTACATATCTATTGTTTTGTTTTGTTATTTGTTGATTTGAATGATAAAACATTTTAAAATAAAATGTTTCAAATATTATTGCTAATTGCTTATGATCATCAACATAAACTAATTGTCAGGTTGGACAACTTTATAAATAAAATTCAATATAAGTAAAACGAAAACTACTTAGTACTTATTTAGTCTCCACTCCATATGTGGGATAGGTTTACGAAAAAAATTGAGTTAAAAGCCAGCCGAAACCCAATGCTCTGTCTACAATTTTGTCTGAATTGCGGCTCGTGTCCCTCACTCAGACAAGTGGTTGAATAACCTGATACATATATTTTATATGATCGCTTTTTGGATCGGTCTTCTCTCCTGTTTTTTGTGTAACTAATGCGGCTTCCGTTTGACGCCCCGTACTGAAAGCTGAGCTCCGACGGCCATCGGCATTCTCAAGCTTACGCAAAGTTTTGTTGTCGTCGTCTTCGTCGATGTTGGCGTCGGCGTCGGCGTCGGCGTCGACGTCTTCGCAATGGAGGAGCAGCTTTATCTTTTGCCAGTGATTCACATTCTTGAAAGCCGATCGCAGTAGCAGTCGAAATTCTTTAGAAAACCCGACACCACGCCCACCGTCCAGCTATGATTTATAGCCAGCCCACAAAGCAGCAGCTCTGCTTAGTTGTTGACCACAGCATTTAGTCCAAGGTAAGCTACTTTTCAATAGTCGTTGAATTTTTAGTTTTCGGTCCCATCAGCACAATATTTGGGCCGGGGCTGGTGCGGCCTGGTCCGTGCGGTGTCTGTCTGGAAGTATTCTCGCTGCTGCGACTATTTGCAGCGGCAACAACAATGGACACAGCGAGACAACATTCCTGTGATATGTCACGAGAATTTTTAACATTTGCACTAGAATTTCTATTTTGGTTGCGTCTCCTCTCCGCCTCCGTCTCTGTCTCCGCTCCCAGCTACTTTCGCTCTCCCCCAGCACGCAGACCGCACATTTCAATTTGGATTTGAATGGTGTGTTTCGGCATTTCATTTGATTTTTCTGGCCAGACCTTGAGGCGTTCCTAACAAGTGCAAACGGTTGCTCGATTCGCTTAGCTCAGAGTTGCTGGAAATGTTGTGCTTGGAGTTTTGTTTTACTTTTAGTGTCCTATTATTCTGTTTTAGTTTTTAGTGTCCTAATTGTGGAGTCGTAATATTTTGCACTAGCTTCAAACAGTGTGCAATGTTCGCAAAATACCCTGTATTAATTAATCAACATAACAATCGGATGTTATATTTGTGTCTTTTTGATCGGCACTCTTTTGCCTTCCATTAGATCAGGTTGTCGGCAAGTATATTCTTGAATTCAGTCTCTTTTGGAATAGACCAGTCTAAATCCGCACATATTTGTCACATGTCCAAGTTTCGAGAAAACTTAACATACCAATATGCAAATGTCAGTCAGCTTGGCGAAAGTTCTTTTTGAATTTAAATTGACAAACTGTGCAGCAAAAACCGCAGTTTAACTTAGTTTCCTGTTGGGAGGTTGTTGCAAACGTTTGCCAAATGTTTTGTTGGTTTTTTTTTTTGTCGGCAAATGTAACATGACTTTGCGCTGTCACTGTTTGTCTGTTTGTTAGTTCGCTGTAGCAGAAAATTGTCAAAGCTTTTAAGTGGGTCACAATTTGATTTGATTTGTTTATATCACCGCAGCAACAAAAAACACAGCTGGAGTAGGGCTTGTCCTAGTCTGCTGCTATTATTTATGTATAAATGTTTGCCTGTAATTGGCCAATTGTGTTGTGGCAATTGGACATGGAAAATGGTTTCATGACTCTATATAAAATTAGTCAGCATTGCAATTGGTATCACTGTGGCTATACGGAACCAGCCACAACAACAAATAGGTTCTTGCTGCAGCTGGTGCCGTTGCCATTTGACCTTTTGCTCAGGTTGACTTGCATATTATTTTAAAAACATTCAAGCCAACGACTTCTAATGGCTGAAATTGTTCAATACCTGATTCCCAATAATTATGTACATAAATACCATGCACCTATGTGTATATATATATATATATATCTTTGAATTTATTTCAAGTTTTGCAAAATGGCAACTGTAAGCAATGCTGATAAAGTATATGTAAATATGAGAAAAGCGTGTAATAAAAAGCTGCCTACGTAGTAAATTATTTTGAAAAGTTCGGTTCTTTTGCTTAACGAATTGTAAAATCAGAAATATTATTTTTTTTTTGTGAATACCTTGGTGGCTCTTCAGTCTTCAGACTGAGAGGTTTCTATAACTGAGGTATATACATATAAAAAAAATATATATACATTTTCTATATACATATATATTAATATAGTTAAGGTTTAATTATAAGTATTTTATTTTAAAACCCTTTCAATAGTTGGGCTTCTTGGCGTCTTGGTATAATGAGTAGGGTATCTCACAGCTACCAGCATTCACTAGAAAAGTTAAAGTTGTTGATATCTGGTTGCGAAAAAGATTTATTTGTGCGCATTCCAAACAATTTGTAGCCATTGAAATTTATTATTGAGTCCCTAGCGGCGGCATCTATTCAAATGTACATACATACATTCAATTTATATTTATGTTTTATTTTTGTTAACAAATTAATTTCGCAGCCGCGTTGCCCCCACACACAAACACCACACACGCACACGCACACACACTTGAACACAAAAAGTAAACGGAGGCGCATTTGACATTTGTTTGGTGTTTAGTTTGCCGTCTGACACTTGTCTGACAATCCGAACGTGCGCCAATGTCATTCACATTGAGCAGGTTTTGTGTTTCATTTTCGGGTTTGCACTTACTATATACAAGTTACTAACATGTATAAAATCGATTTTTCATTTGTTTTGATTTAATACCCCTTAATCATTCAAATTGACTAAAAGGGTATAAGCAAGTTTATTTAATTTAAAAGAATAAAGTACGCGTACTCTTTTTATGCTTAATAATGCTTCTCTCTTCCTACACTTGGTTTTTTATTTTAATTTATTGTACATCTAGCATGCAATCTCTTCTACATATATCGTTCTAGTTCGTTCTATTTTTCGCTTCAATTGCAACGACAGCCATTAAAAAAAAACGTTAACTCCTTACTTTGGGAAAAAGGAGAAATATTAGTTATCCGCCTTAGCCCCATAAATTTGTTGATGCGGGAACCGTACTAAAATGAGATTTTTGAAATAATTAAATTGGTCATAATTTGACTTAAACATTTGAAACACCAATCATGTAAAAAAAAAATCTTTCATAACGACTGACTCAACTTAAATATTCGCAGCCACAAGCTGGTAACTGTCTTATGAATCGGACCTTTTTGGCTCTAATGCGTGTCTAAAGTTTTCTGTTCATCTCCGCCACTCTACTTCCTCCCCCACTTCACGACTCGGGCCACGTTAAGTTGACATTTACCACATGTAGCCAGGTGGTTTACGT